ACCAATCCGGGGAGGAGAGTGCACCTCCACGAAGGCCCTGTCGGCCCACTGCCGTCTCCTAGAGGCCTCGAGTCTCTCGGACATGGGGGTCTGACTGCGGATAGCCGCTAGGCTGGCCGGGGAGCGGGTGGACGCTCCCTGAGGTCGGTATTCGAAGAGTCCCTGAACTTCTCGCTCCGGATGGAGAAGCTGTCCGTCTGGTGGAAGCTGCACCACTCCTGGAAGCTGTCCCTCTGGTGGAAGCTGCGCCACTCCTGGAAGCTGTCCGTCTGGTGGAAGCTGTCCCACCCCTGGAAGCTGTCCTTCACCGCTGGAGGGTCCTGCCGAGAAACGCAGAGCCCTCTCACACGCTTTCTTTTCCCCTCTGGAGGCGGTCGCCTCGAAATCGTCATTAAATTCGCCAGAGAGCAACAGATCCCGCCAGGCCGGCAGGGACATCGCCACCAAGCGCTCTGCCTGGTCGTCTGGAGAAGCGCCCCCCTCTTTCGTCCGCGCTCCTCCTGGTCTTCTGGTCAGGTTTATTCTCCCTTCCTCCCCGAGATCGTGGGGCGCTTCTTCCTGGAAAAAGACAGTCTCGTGCGCCCGCCATCCGGCGTCGCTCAGGATCCGATCGAGGCTTTCCGCCTCGGGCAGCTCACTCAGGCCGTACAAGCACTTGCCGCCCTTCAGGGGCTGCTTGGTCCGCTGCCGGCACTGCCGCCTGCCGGAGGCGACTCGGGGCCGATCTTCTCCCACCCGGCCGGGAACACCGCCTGGGCCGGCACCTGCGGCGGCGACATCTTCGGCTCGTCCTCGATCGACATCTGCTTCTCCATCGTGATCTGCTTCTCCGGGATGCCGAGCTGTGCCGCCTGGATGTTCTGGATGGCCTTCCCCTGCTCCACCACCAGGGCGAGCAGGCCGTGATTCTGGTTGGTCATCTCCTCCCTCATGCTCTTGATCTCGTTGGCCAGCGACGCGCGAGGTGCGTGCTGACGAGGACGTGCTGGGCCCGCGCCGTCCACCTCCATGGGCGCCTCCAAAGCCCGGTACTGCACCATCTCTTCGGAGCGCTTCTTCACCCTCATCGGCTCCTCCGAGCCCTGAGCCGGCTCCCGGTCGCCCGTCGTCGTCATGAGAGCGACCCTGGTGCACTCCACCGAGTTCCTCACCGACGCTCTGCCCCCTGGCGGCTTGGCGAGGTCGCTCACGTTCAGCACCGTCGCGCCGCTCTGTGGCGACTTTTCCTTCCCCTTGTAGATGACGGACGCCTTCCTGAAGTACGAGACCCTCATGTTGCAGTCCCCGCAGACCTCCCAGCTGCCGTGAGAATTCCCGAAACTCATGAGGCTGGCCCAGGAATGACTGCACTTCATCTGACGCTCCGTGTAGAACCTGTCCGCTTTCTTGGTCTTGAGTGGCCACTGGTGGCCGTTCTGGAACACGCGCAGCAGCTTCAGCCCCTTGTGCTGGAAATCGGCCACGATCCTGGAGCTGAGGTACGCCCAGAACTTGTCTCCCGCCGACAGTCCGCTCGGGCACTCGTTTCCGGTCAGCAAGTACTTGACGGACTGCGGCTCGCCACTGCCGCTCACTGAGGAGCCCGTCAACGCCTGCAGAAACGTTTTCTCGGCTCGGCCCCAGTGCGCCACCATGGCACCAGCAGCCCGTGCGAGAGAAAGCGCCTCGAAACGTCTTCCTCGAGCCGCTCGGCCCAGAAACGGCCACATGCGTCGGATCACGACGTCGACGACGAGACGACAAATGAGTAGGAGGAACCGTCTCACAAGACATCCGCAGAAAGGCCGAGTTTCCCAAGACGCCTCGTGGGCCTCCGGAACCGTGAGGAGGGGAAAAGAGGTGCTCACCTGCACTTGGAGGTCCTCCTTGATTCTTCTGGATGCCGTTGCTGATCACCTTCGGGAGCGAGGCCGGGTCTTTCTCGAGACGACTCCGATCGGCCCTGGGTTCCCGAGTCGACTGCTCCGAGGACGACGTCGACGTTGCGAGGGGGGGCGATCGAGCGGGGAGGGGAAGCATGTAACTCTCGCTCGAGCTCAAGCGAAAGTCAGACGCCTGCAGTCCAAAACGCTCCTGGAGAGCCTCCGGGAGCTCAAAATCTTCTGGACGGCCGAGCTTGTCAATCGCGATCGTGCGATGACCGCTCGACAGCCGCTTCAAACCGGTGGTCGCCCCCAGCGCCCTCAGAGTCACCTCGGCCTTCGGGGGGTCGATCGCAGCCTTCATATGCCCCTGCATGCCGATCGGCATCAAAGCCGGCACGTCTTGCTCGATCAGGTCCAGCTCCATGACGCCTACCTTGCCCTCGATGCCCGTGGGGGCCAAGAGTCCTGACCGCACCGGCGCCTTCCCTCCGACGCCTCTCGCGAACTCGCGCTTGCTCTTGACTCGAACAACTTGGAAGCCGAGCTCGCCCAGACGCTTCTCCAGCCTCTGCAGGGCCGGCGGTCCGATCAGCGCCTGGCCCGCCGCCGTGTCAACCACGATGTCCCCCGAGCCGGCGACCAGCAAGCTCATGGCCTCGACCTTCGCGGACCTGATGCGGTCCGCGACCTGGCGAATCAACCCGCGCGCGTTGATCGAATTGACGCTCTCCGAGGTCAAGATCGCGTAGCCCGGCTCCGACTCGTTGAGTAACACGAACCCGCTTCCTGCTGCTGCTCCTGTCGAGTCCCCCTTCTCCGGACATTCTCGGTTCCAGTGTCCCTTTTTTGTGGCACCGATGGCATTTGGTGATCTCCATCAGTTTCTCGATCGGAAGTCTCTGCTTCCGCTCACGCACTACTCCCTTCGCACTCCGACGTAGTCCATCGCGCCTCCCCGGGTGCGGCGGCGGCGGCGCCGGCGCCCTGGAGCCCGACGGCCCCCCCGGGGTCTGGTAGGAATTCCTGTCCACTCGAAGTTGCCTTTTGTAGTCCCGGTTCTCCTTCCACGTCTTCTGTACTTCTCCAGCGTCGCCAGCACCTCTGGTAGCTCGTATTCGTCTACGTCGGCCTCCGCGATCGACTCCAGCACGAAAGCCTCCTGCTCTGACGTCATGGAGGAGACGTCGCTGTACTCGCAGAGGTCGTCTCCGTCATCTTGCACTGCGTAGGTCGCCGCCGTGGCCTTGCCCGTCCTGGCGCCGAGGTGCTCATTGCGTGTCACGCCCATCTCTCTCGCCGCGCCGATCACTTCCTCATAATCCTTGGAGCCGCGGCTCATGACCTTCAACATCTGCATTCCGCTTTCGTCCAATCCTATGCCTTCCTCTAGGAAGAGCATCTTCCAGCTGTCGTCTAACTCGAGCCCCTGGCCCTTCAGTCTCTCGAAGTTCTGGTCCATCCTCGCCGTGTAGACCGACAGGGTTTCGTCCGCCTTGCGTCTGTATCCCATCAAGCACTCGCGGCCGGCTCTTCTCTTCTCATCGTCGATGCGCTGTCCGCTCATGATGTCGAGTCGCTTGATGATCGTCATCGGTCCTTCGGCTGACTGCAACACTGCATCTGAGATGTCCTCGAACTTTCTCTGTAAGTCCCTGTCGAGTACCTTCAGAATCTTGTCAGATATCTCCTTCGGCGGTGCGTCTGTGTGGTCGAGCCACCGGACCACTCGGCGACGCCACATTCTGTAGTCTGACCAGCCCATGAAGGCCTCTGGATCGGCGTAGTCACCCTTGTCCCACTTCTGGTCCCTCAAATCGCTCTCGTACTTGCCGCTCCTGCCCTTCTTCAACTGGTCCCATTTTTCCTGGGACCACTCCTTTCTCTCGCCGCCCTGGCTCTCCGACCGGCCCTGACCCTTCCACGGGTCGTCTGAATCCCACGGATCGCCAGCTTGCCGGTCAGCACCCTCCTCCTTCTCGCTCGCGCCGTTCTTGTCGCCCTTGTCCTTGCCCAGGTACTTCAGCAGCAGGGCCTCGGTCTGCGCCAGCTGCTGCTTCATCATCTGCTCGAACTCCAACTTCTGCTCGCTCGTGAACGCCTCGGAGTCCACTGTGGCGTCCGACGTTTCCTTCCTGCCCGCTAGGTCGTCTGCCCTGCGTTGTCCCTCGCCGTTGCCATCCTTCGGGTCACCCGGCATCGTGCCGCGGATCGAACAACACTCCGCTGGGAGTGTCACGCTCCTGCTGCCACTGACGCGCGAAAGCACATCGAGTGATGTCCGATAGGATGATGGCGGAGGATTCTTTTCCTGAGACAAGCAACAGCCTCGGGCCAAGAGGGTGCCTACGGATAGACACAACACCGAAAATCAACTCTGGGAGTTCAAGGTCAAATGGATAGTATACACTGCATGAACTCATTTACTCAGCATGCCTCCAAGATTCCCCAAGACCACTCCAAGGCGGCGCTAATCGCCCTCCGAGCCTCCCACGCAGGCCCCGACGAGGCTGGAATGCGCCCAACACCTATGAAAAAAACAATGATTTATGCCTTGTCGGCGTTTCGCTTCCAATGTGCTCCTAAGGCCTCCAGATGGCTCCAAGATGGCCCAAGAGAACCCCAAGAGGGGCATAAGAGGGGCCCAAGACGGCCCCAAGAGCGCCCATCACCGCCCCAAGAGCGCCCCAAGAGGGCCACAATAGGCTGGTTTGAAGCTGCGACGGGGGTTCCGAAACCGGCCCCCCAGGCCTCCAAGATGGCCCCAGAAGGGCCCCCAAGGCTTCCAAGCGGGCCCCAAGAGAGGCCAAGAGCGCCACAAACAGCCTGCGCGGCGAATCTCGGCACAACGTATCAAGGAGATTCGCATGGGCCGGCCGCCGTGGAAGCCTCTTCTTGTTGCCTGACTGCAGTAGCACACCGGGTACCAGCACGATGGGAGCTTGAATGCCGAACCAGACTGCTTCGAGGTGATGGAGGAAAGAACGGATAAGAGGAGAAGAGAATCAGGACACGGATAAACTGAAGGAGGAGGAGGAGCAGGCGAAGGCGGTGACTCGATGTTGGACGAACGTAAACAAGAGAAGGTGGACGATGGGGCATCAAAGCGAAGACGATGAGCCCGCCCATAGGCCACGCCTCCAGCCAGAAGCCCTTCACCGCCGGCGTGCCCGTCTTCTGGTCGCCCCCCGCCTGCGCCAGGGAGGACGCTCGAGGCTCCCCTACAGCCAGCGTGCTACCAGGAGGGACGCACAGTAAGGAACGAAGGGGCTGTTCCTGCCACGGCGGGCCCAGGCTACAAACAGGCTCCACGGCATGAATCTAAAAAAGGCTCACAAAGCCGAGCCCCATCCGGAACCCACAGCGTTCCTCATGTCAGCGTCTTCGCTGTACGGAAGCAACGGGGAAAATTGGCACGGCCGGATGTCCCAACGTATGTCTTTGGCGGCCAGTTCCCGCCTGGGGACCCTCAAACAACGATCCGAAACGAAAAGCCTGCGTCAAAGAAACGGTCGGCACTCCCGTGGAACAACGCCACAGAAAAAATGCGATGACGGGAGAGCGGAGATGGCATCCACTGGGATTCTGGGCCCGAGGAAAAAGTTGAAATAGTTTCACGGTTCGCAGCCCTCTTCGGACCCCGAAAAGGGCCCGGGTTCTCACTGCGCGAGGGCGGACGATGCTGACGATGATGATACGAAGAAAACACCGATACAGCATCGTCATGACTGGCGATGGCCATTCTGGGCCCTTGAATGATGTATACGGCGTGCATGTGCCTGGCTGCGCGCAGACGGGCCACCCCCCCCGCGAGGGCGCGCCCCCTGTCGAGCGCCTTCCCCCCGCGCGCGGCGGAAGAAAACAGCGCGCGACCGCTGACTGCGGGCCCCGCCAAGCAGGCCCCAGACGGCGTTTCACCGTCTCTTCTTCGAATTTTGTACCCTCACTTGAGATGGCGCCTTCGCCGCAGGAGGGCGCCCACATGGCCCGCCCCGACCCTGCTGCGGGCGGACGCGCAAGGATGAAGAGCGGTCATGGAGCCCCGCCCGCCCCCGATCGGCCCCCCGGCCGAGCGCCCCCCAGCCGCGGTCGGCGGAAGGGGGGGGGCGCGCGAACGGGCGGGCACCCACGCCCAGCACAAAGATCCGGGCCCGCCCTGGAGCCGCGCGCAGGCACAAGCGAGGGCCCCCATTTTGGATCGCGCGACGGACCAACATTCTCGACCGCGCGACGATCAAACAGAGAACGGGGGGCCCGCGCGGACCTGAAGCTCCGCCCCCCCACCCCACCCACGCAGGACCAACCCCTGCGCGAAGGCGCCCCCCCCCCCCGTCGACGGCCCCCCCTGCCCGCGGCGGGGGGGGGGAGCTCGCGAACGGACGGGCGCCGTCGAGGAAGGAGGGCGCCCGCTGGTCCGTTGGAGGTTCGGGGCCACCTCGCGGACGCGCCCTCCCCCGGGCTTCTGCCGAACGGACAGCGGGAACGAGGGGGCTGCCGTCGGCCACGCGCGGCCCGGCACGGGGCGGCGCAAGGCGACCGCCGCGCCCAACGCGCCCCAGGCCTGGCGGCGGCCGCCTTACGCGTTCCCCCGCAAGCGGGCCCCCCGCTCCGCGAGATCGCGCAGGACTCCGCGCCGCGGATGCAAACGCTTGCGCTACGCCGCCCGAGCCTCGCGGCCAGCTGGCGCCGCGGCGCGCCGTCGCCGCGCGGCGCCCCGCTGTCCACGTCTGCCCGGCGGCCATGCTTTCCGCGCGGCGGCTGCGCCCCCCCCTGATCTGCCGCCTGGAGCGCCGCGGCTGCCGTCGCCCGAAACCCTCGCTGAGCCCCGACGACTACCCGAGGAGAGCTTGCTGTCGCGCTCGACCAGGTCGGCGGCCGCCTCCTGGCGCTCGATCGAACGCCCCCGCAACTTCGCGCGCAGCCCCTTCTCCCGGCCCGCCCCGGGCCCCGAGCCCGCAGGGCCAGAGATGTCGAAGAACGGGGGCTGGCGACCGACGACCCTGTCGCGCTCTGCCGCGCTCAACATAGGACAGCTTCGGGCGGAAGGCGCGGTAGTCGCCAGTGACCTTGTCCTGAGAGGAGCGCCCGCCCTCGCTGCGGGGGCGGAAATGCAAGTCCCTGGGCGTGGCCCCCGTGGCCATCTGCTCCGAGAACGCGGGCACGTGCCTGGCGACCTTCTTGCCAACCCCCATCGCTGCCGGGGGCGATGGTGCCCATGACTGCGCCAATCTCCGTCTCCAACAGCCCGTTCAGCTCGATCGCCCGCCCAACCGCCCGCCCAGCTCTCGCGGCGGCGATGACGGACGCCAGCTTCAGGATCGACAAGGTGTCCTCCTGATCCAGAGTCCCGTGCCCGAAATTGATAGTCTCCGCCTGGTCCCACGGGGCGAGCTCTTCGCACTGTCCGATCTGCCTCGCCCTCTTGTCGCCGACCGGACCCACGCCGCACTTCGCGACGATGGAGCGCGACGAGAAGATGACGATGCGGCGTTCCCGCGCGTCCGCGCCCTCCTCTGACAAACTGCGGCCGCGCCTCTTGCTCGATTGACTCCAATGACATCCACCACCCGCGGCGCCGTCTGGCTCGTCTACCCGCGTCGGCACCGCGCAGCGCACCCACTCCATCGACCCGAGGGAGGCCATCTTGCGGTGCTGGTGCACGTACAGCATGGATATATATATATATATATATATATATATATATATATATATATCAACCGAGGGCGATATAGCCGCGCGTCCTTCGGGGCAGCCTCGCCAATATTATTCAACCGGACGTTTGGCACCACTGGGCCGTCCTTGTCATTCCTGAACTCCGCATCGATGGCATCCACGATGGACCTGGTCTGCTGCGACGGCGACCCATGAACCTGGCTTCCCCTCAAACTGGGCCATTCGGCCTTCAGGCTGTCGGTTCCAGGCCTGAGCTAATAGTCCTCGTCACTTTGCTACTTTTTGTCGTGGCACCTGAAGCGCACGTAACTGCACGTGCGCAAAGGCCCCAGGAATTTGTTGATGAATACCCTCGGGCACTGGCCGCCCATGGCCTTGGCGGCGCGCTCGCGCGCGACGACAAAGCTGATGTTCTGGAAGCATGGAACCTCACCGCTCCCGTAGGCCCAGACGAAGAGCGATGCACAGCCGCTGCTGTCTTCACAAACATGGCACTTCACAGGTTTGGCCACGACCACGCGGCCACTCGCGAACTTGCGCGCGCAGTCAGCCTCCTTGACCAATGGCGTTACAATCTCAGATTGGGGGTGATATCAGACGTCGCGTGTCCTCCTCGGATCCCCTGCCAGCCCCCCTCGCCCGATTGCGAGCTCGGCGAGAGGGAGACTCTGCCAGCCTGGCGGCCGCCCCCAGAGGGGTCCGCTTGGCCCCCGCCCCGGGCGGCTGCACGGAGCTCCTGCGCGACGGCCAGGCGCCGGGGAGGATGAACATTTCCTTCCGCCGCGGCGCGGCGGCGACGGCGCAAATTGAAAAGCCGGCTGCACCGCCCAACCGCTATTCAGAAACGGCTGGGCGCCTGAGCCCAAATAGCCACAAACGTCGGTCCTGCAAGAGGATGCAGAGTCGCGTTGGCGCACGGGGGCGTATATATTCATATATATATATACATAAAAATATATACCAACATGTCCATACAGCGCAGCCCCGCCCCCATGACCCATTAATTTTACATCGCTCGTTGAACAGTTCTCTCTCTCTCTCTCTCTCTCTCTCTCTCTCTCTCTCTCTCTCTCTCTCTCCCTCTCTCTCTCTCTCTCTCTCTCTCTCTCTCCTCTATGTACTTATTTTTTTTTCTCTCTCTCTCTCTCTCTCTCTCTACTGATTTCTGTCTCTTTTGCTCGTTCCCCCCCCCCGTCCCCCTCCTCCCCCTCCTCCTCCACATCCTCGTCGTCTTCCTCCTCCTTCTCCTCGTCGCCCTCCTCGTCTTCTGGGGCGCACAGGACAAAAAGAGAGGGAGAGAGACAAGGGGGGATATATATATATATATATATATATAGAGAGAGAGAGAGAGAGAGAGAGAGAGAGAGAGAGAGAGAGAGAGAGATCGGACAAGTAGGCGGACCAGGGTCCGTCCGCGAGGCGCACTGCGGTGCGACAACCCGCCAAACACTATTTGCGGCGGTGCAGCCTTAAGATACGAGGGCGGGCAACTAAACCCCCTCCCCCGGCGCAATGCGACAGACGCTACAGACGGCGGACAGACGGTGAAGATCTCACGTGTCAGACCGCGTGGAGAAAGAGGCCCCAACAAGGAAGGCGACGTGCTGACACGTGGCTAGGCGGTTTGGCAGACCGCCAGTTGGGCGCTTGGCCGCAAAGCGGCGCGCAGGGACGGGGCACCCCCCGCCCCCACGCCCTGACACCGTGGACGCGGAGCCACGCGTACACACGGGCAGGCAGAGAGGAGGAAATTAGCGCGGGACACCAGGTGGAGCGCCGCGGAGCGATGACAGCATAGATTGGATGGTGAGCGGCGGCGTAGCACCATCGGGCGAGGACGTAAGCAGCTCGGCGAAGGCACGCCCGGCGCGGTGGAGGCGCTGGAGCAGAGGGCCTTGACGGGCTTGAGCAGCGGCAAGGTCAGCGGCGAGAGCAGCACACCTCTGCTGAAGAGCGGCCATAGCCTGGGACAGCTCAGTTTCGCGGTCGGTGAGGGGCGGCTGCTCAGTGCCAGCGGCCGCGGGCCTCGTGGGAGGGACGAGGTCATCAGTGCGCCTGGCCAGGTGGTGGACTAGCGCAGTACGGCACTCCGTGTGCTGACGGCCGTCACCCTTGATAGGCGACTGGAGGGTAACACGCGGCCCCAGGGCTGGAGCCGCTAGGGCCACGCCCCGTGAGGTCGGAAGAGCCGCATCCTCGCGCCCAGCAACAATGGAAGCGTGGACGGGGTGCGACGGCCTGACTGGCTCGGTGCCCTGCGGGGGGGCTGGAGCCGCCCCCGCGGGCTGGCGCTGGTGGGGGGACGGAGTGGGTGGCACGGTAGGACCAATGATGATGCCGTGCGAGGGCTCGGATGTCGGCCGCGTAGTCGGGTGGCGTCTCGATGGGGCGGCATCGTCGGCAGCGTGGGGTGTCGGCGGAGCGTCGTCCATGCTGCCACTCAGTCCGAGGGGATCAGCCAGGTCATCGTCGGCGTCTTGGCGGTGAGCGACATCATCATGTGGGTGCGATGTCGCTCT